CCGTCTGCAAACCCGCGAGCGGCCGGGCTGCGCGGCTGCGGCTCTGACTCGGCGTGACAGGTAAGCGGCAGAGGCTGCCCGCGGCCCTCACAGCCCCCCACGAGCATTTCCCCGGCCTCGGGACTCAGATCCCTCCCGCTTCTCGGGACTTCCCTCCAGTTGGTCTCACTTCTGCCAAGTCCTTGCTCCCAACTCCCCGCCTCCGCCAACTTTCGCCTCCTCCTTCTCCTCACCACCCCCACAGTTAAATGAAGGGGCTGGGTTAGACTGATCCCTCCTGCCTTCGCTATTTGCCCTTTGTCGTCTCCTCTAGCTCCTCCCTCCGTAGGACCCCCCTTCACTCTCTCCTTTTCTCCCTGGATCTTCTCTAACCAATCCCTTTGGGCTGAAGGGATCTCCCTCGCCTTTGCCCCTTCCTTAAATCATGAGTCGGGTAGCCCAGACCTCTGGAACGGGCAGGAAGGAGTGTGCGGGGAGACAAGCCAGGGCCCTCCCTCCAGGGCTCTATAGCCTCTTCCCCTCACCCCCTCACGCCCCCAGCATTCCTTCTGCGCCCCCACCCCTGTCTCCCCAAGTTGGGCCACCCCACGTTCTCTAGTCCAGAAAATCTTTCAGAGACGCTTCCGTCCTGCCAGTGCCACTTTGTGCCTGAGCAGAAGAGATGAGGGAAGAGAGGACTCCCTGGTGGGGGTGGTCGAGCAGGGGCTTAACTGAACTCCCTCTAGAGGCTTGGGCCTTCTAGGGGTGAGGAGGGCGCTCTGTGGTATTGTGGTGGGAGGGGAGCGGGATGATTGTTCATGACTGTGACTGTCACCAACTTCCCGATTTCTCCGTCACTTGTTCCGAGTTCCAGGCTGACAGAAAGGAGAAACGGCATGTCATTTGCCCCCAGAAATGGCAGAGGGTAGGACAGGGCTCTCCTTTGTGTGTGTTGGGTCAGTTTCCCAGAGAAGCTGAGAAGAGACCCCTCCTCTATTAGCCAACAACCCATTGCCACAGTCCCACCGGTAGTTTTAAGGCTATTCTCTCAGCTCACACCCAGACCCACAAATGCGGTTTACAGGCACTGAGAGAGGTTAGTAACTCTGGATACACCAAAGAGGCTCATTTTACCAGGCGGGTGTGCGCAACCAACCCGGGCCCTATTCTCCTCCCACACGGATGGGCTGTGTCCCTACCAATCAGAGGAAGGCTAAGAACAATGAGAGAGGCAAATTCAGTGGTGAATAGAACAAGCTTAAGTGAGTGGTTTGAAATATACTTTGGTTCAGATTATCCATCAGAAGCCAGTATCATCACAAGCATTTCCCTAGCTTCAGTTCCTCAAAGATGCCACTCGCTTTAGGCACTCAGAGCTAATAAGAGAAAGCTGCTGCCAGGGGCACCAGGGCAGAGAACAGGACAGGACTGTCAAAAGGAAGAGGGAAGTCTGGAGCTGGCAGAGCCATGAGGACACCGGACTGTCCAAGATGGCCTCACCCTCGTAATCACTGCCCAAAGTCAGTACGGCAGCTGATGTGTTACATGCCCTCTGAGATCAGAAACATCTTAAACCAAGTTCAGCTGGAGGAAACTTGGACAGGAGATATGACCATTGCTTAGCCCATGTAGCTAGTGTCTAGAACAGAAATCAGGAATAGGAGTGGCAGTAACCCTAGAGCCAAGGGCTTCTCAATGCAAGGGGGTAGTGGGTATAATGAGCCAGGCAGCTGGCTCAGCTGTGTCACTAATTTAGCTGTATAACCTTGGCCAAATCACATAAACACTTCCTAGGTGGAGAGCACATGAGAAAATGTATATGAATGTGCTTTGGCAAATCTCCAAGCACCAGCCAAATGCAAGGCAATGTAGTATAGTGGTTAAGAGAGTGGGCTTTGGAGAGACATGGGCCTGAGTTCAAATTCAGCCTCTGCTACTTCATAGCTGTGTGACTTTGGTCAAGTTACTTAACCTCCCTGTGCTTCAGTTTCTTTCTGTGAAAAGTCAAGAAGATAACTCTAATTTGACTTCATCTTATTAAAAATGGAGCCCTGGTGGTACAGTGGTTAAAGCACCCGGCTGTGAACCAACAGCTCAGCAGAAGATTGGCAGTCTGCTTCCGTAAAGATTTACAGCCTTGGAAACCCTATGGGGCAGTTCTACTCTGTCCTATACAGTAGCTATGAGTCAGAATCGACTTCATGGCAGTGGATTTTGGTTTTGGTAATATTAAAAACAGTGGTGATATTGTCCTAAATAAACATTCTCTGGCTCCCATAGACATGTCCAATGTCTCCAGTCCTGGAAGTGCAGCTGAGGACCAGAGTAGGTATAGGTGCCAAAGGGACCCAGTAAATAGCCATGTCACAGACTTGGGTGAACTCAGTTCTTCATACAGCCCTCTGCCCCTCTCTGGGAAAGCCCAAAATGTCCAGTTCCATTTGATGAGGATGAGGGTGAGGATTTGAAAAAGCAAGAGGTCAAGTGCAGGGCTGTGCCTGTCTCTGTGTGGAGCTCAATGCTGTAATTGTGCTGTGTGAAAGGCGTGCGTGGTGAATAAGCATGGATTCAGTTCAGGGAGAAGAAAGACTGTTAGAAGACTCTTTTATGACACCTGAGAGCACTAGGAGGTCAGGTTATTCTCCTGTGCCCTGTGCTCCCCAGTCCTGAGCACTAGGTGGAGATTTGGAAGAAGGGGGAAACCCAATCCTCACCCTCAGTTCTGCATGTAATAGAGAACACAGGACTGACAGCCAGGTCAGAAGAGCATGACCACGTGTCTCAGGGCAGCAGACACTACAGGATTGGAAGGCTAGGTGGATTGGCCAGGAAAGGCATTCTGGAGGCAGAAGTTTGGGGACCAGGATTTAAGGACTGAGAAAGAAACCAGGATCTAGGTGGCCTTGTGGCTGGGCCCGTTGGTTTTTCTTCCCCAATAAAATCTAGCAGGAGAGCCCCACATGGGGAAAACATGGGTAGTGACACTTAGAAACAAGTGCACTTGGATACTGAGAACAGTGAGATGCGCCTTAAGCTAGGAAGGCTTCTTGGAGGAGGGGAGTTCGGAGTAAGAATTTGAAACAGAAAAGAGACATGGCTTGCTTAGCAGGAAGATAAGGGAAGAACTTTGAGGAGGGAATGACAGCCAGTGCCAAGCGCTGGTCAAGCTTAAAGGTGAGAAGCGAACAGGAAGCTGACTGCCCAAACTGTGTTTCTGCCGCCATCAAATGGCACTGAAGGAATACAAAATCTGCTGTTTTGATTGTGAAAGGGAGAGAGAGGCCAGAGGCAAAGGAGGCTGGCAGGCAGCTACTGCTGATCCTCCAGATATTGGGCGATAAGGGCACAGTTTCAAATGACGGTTGGGAGAGTGGAGAGGAAGGGGAGGACCCAGGAGGCAGAGGATGAATCAGCAGGATTTAGGAGTGGGGGTGGGGAGTGAACCTGCTGTTGAGAAGGGATTAAAAACTACTTCAGGACTCGGAGTGGGGCAGGGGCAGGGGTTATTTGAAAGATTGTGATGGTATTGGCAGCAATGGAAATTGGGAAGACTGGCCATCTTAGGGGGCAGGGCACAGAACTTCAATTCAGGGTGTGGCGTGTTGAGTATCTGGTGGCCCTGGTTAGAAGTTCTGCAGCTAGGAGCAGACTACGGGATGAGGAGAGCAGGAAAGCACACATTTCTGCCCCCTCCCATCACTGCCGTATCCGTAGACTGGCCCACTCCTTTAAGAATAAAACCAAAACACCAAACCTGTTGTTGTGGAGTCAATTCTGACTCATGGCAACCCCATGTGTTACAGAGTAGGGTTTTCTTGGCTGTAATCTTTACGGAAACAGATCACCAGGCCTTTCTTCCGTGGTGCCACTGGGTGGGTTCGAACCACCAACCTTTAGGTTAGCAGTCAACCACAAACCATTTGTGCCACCCAGGATCCATCCTTTAAAAATAGCTCTCCTACACCCTTCCCCCTTCTCTTCTTCCCTTTCCCCAGATGGTGAGAATCAATTCAAGTTCCTTTTTTGCATTCTCTCAAGCCCAGCCTGATTGTTAGAAACAGTTAATTGGACAGAGTTCCTATGTAATTAGGGAATCCCATCCCATCCCTACTAGGGTCCCTTCACACCTGGATTCCTAGGAGCCTCCAGTGTCAAGGCTCAGCTTGAGAACAGCTACACACCCCGCCCTACCTTGAGATGTCCCAGTAAGAAACCTGTGAGCTGCTGGACTTGGACATAGTTCCTGTTGGTCACATATCATGTTGATTTTCAGTGACTTTTACAAACTTGAAATAAGTCACCAAATATTTACTGAGCACCTACTATATGCCAAGCACTAGTCTAGGTCTACAGTGGTGGACCAAGTTGGGTTGGGTTTTTTCAATCAAAAGTTCATGTTCGGGTAACTTACATTTAAAATGTTACGCAAACGTAACATAAACCTAGATATCCTGGGGGGAAATCCTGATAGACTAGCTACAGAATAACTTTCAGTGCATCTTTCTGGGAAAATAAGCCACAACACTGCAGCTTTAGTCTAGGGGAAAAGCTGAAGTGTCTTGAAGGTATAATTATGGGTAAAAGTGAAAATCTCCCTGCATTCTATGATCAAAAGGGTCAGAAGTGGGAGGAGGGCTTTGGAGGAGATAATTTGCTGCTCTGTTCATAGCATGAGTACAGGAGAAATGAAACAAGCGCTGTGTTTAATGGAGAAGAAAGTGCTTGCAAGGAAGAAAGGGCCAGAGAATCATTTGGCCAAAATGGCCACTCAGCCTCCCACCCCCAAGTCACTTGAAATTGGCGTGTCCCCTCCTCACGATGATGTCTAGCTCCACACACCTGTGCCCTCAGTGAGAGTGAGGACAGCCACTACTTTTCGAAGAAACCTGTAATTGAGCCATAGTCTGAGTAACTTGAACAAACATCTCTGTGGTGACTGCTAACTTCCTGGCTGCCACGTCTCCCTGAGGTGAGCAGCCTCATTGATAAACAGAAAGAAACTTTGTTACAAAGGGGCCACCTGGCCAGCAAGGGTGTGTTCTGGGTGGCTGACCTTGGCTTTCACAAAAGCAGATTTTGCCTGAGACTTCCAGTTTTGGCATCTTTAAAGCATTTTTAACCCTGAGTGGGAGCTGGGAGAGGGCAAGCGCAAGGCTGGGGGGTGTCTTAGAGTAGAGTGGAGGAGGCTGAGGAAAACAGCCCTCCTTCAGGCTCAAGAGAGCTAGGCCCAGTCCCCAAAACTCCATATGACACTCATGCAACTCTAAGGGAGGCAAGAGTGTGGTAAACAGAGAGTGGCCTGGGAGTTGGGAGACCAGGGCTGTGATGCTAGAGAAGTCATAACACTCTGGCCTTACCTGAGACTGAGGGTACTGAACTTACAGATGAAGCTAGTCAAAGTGGCATATGTATGTAATAAAAGAACATCGTGCAAAAGATCAGATATTGTATGATCCAACTTCTGTGAAATATCCAGAATAGGCAAATGCATAGAGAAGATTGGTGGTTAGTAGGGACTGAGGGGAGAGGGGAATGGAGAGTTATTGGCTAATGAGTGCAGAGTTTCTGTTTGGGGTGATGAAAAAGTTTTAGAGTATATAGTGGTGACGGTTGTACAACATTGTGAATATAATGAATGCCTATTGAGTCAGTTCCAACTCATGGCAACCCCATGTGTGTCAGAGTAGAACTATGCTCCATAGGGTCTTCAATGGCTGATTTTTCGGAAGTAGATTGTCAGGTCTTTCTTCTGAGGCACCTCTGGGTGCACTTGAACCTCCAACCTTTCTGTTAGCAGTCGAGCGCGTTAACTGTTTGCACCACGCAAGGACTACAGTGCTACTGAACTATACACTTCCAAATGGTTAAAACGACAAATTTTGTGTTGTATATATTTTACTACAGTTAAAAAGAAAGAAGAGAGAAAGAAAGGGAGAAAGATTAATTTTTTAATAAGAGAGGGTATCATATAACTCAAATGCTTATTGCAGTAAATGCTTTATAAGAAGAGCATTTTGTGAAGCCAGTGCCTAATGTTGTAGCTGACTTTAACCCCTCTGGCCTTGGTTTTCTCATCACATTTAACAAGAGATTATGGAATACCTACTGCATGAAAAACTTGTGCTAGACTTTGCAAGTAATTGACTTGATGGCAACTAGTTTGCAAGCAATACAAAGGGGAAAATGGCCGGGCCTCTCTGGTCCAGGAGTTCATAAGCTGGGGGGAGAGCGGACCCATGAGTGTGTAATTCTGACACAAGGCAGGCTGTGATAAGGCCAGATAGAAGCATCAACAGTATACTAAGGGGGCGAGTTGGGGGATTGATTCAGCTAGGAGATCTGAGAGGGCTTCTTGGAGGAGGCTAGGCTGTAAAATGGAGGCATCAGACTGCACCCGTTATTGGCTTTCAAACTTCTGTGACTGGACCATGGTAAGAATACATTTTACAACAAGACTGAGTTACCCACATACATGTGACAGAGTACCCCAAAAGTCTTAGGACGCTTCTACCCTTTAATACTATCAGAAGTAAAAATTCTACAAACTAACAAAAAAAAATCGTTTGAAAATTTAATGATTTAAATTTGTTTTACCTTTATTTAGTTTTATGAATTTTTGATAACACATTTTTATTTTTAATTTTGTGTTAGGTAGTTTGACCATGTTCGATGGACTAAAACAAACATTGAAATTTTTTAAAATTATTATTCAAAATTCATGAAACTAGGAAAAAAATTGTCAGCCAAGAATTATACATCCAGCAAAACTGTCTCTCAAATATGATGGCAAAATTAGGGCATTTCCAGATAAACGGAAGTTTAGGGAATTTGCAAAAACTAAACCAACATTACAAGAAATACTAAAGGGAGTCCTCTGGTTAGAAAATCAGTAACATCAGCTAACAACCCAAGACTAGAACACAGGACAGAGCAACCAGATATCAACCCAGAGAGGGAAGTCACAAAAATAAATCAAAGCTAAAACACTGAAAATAGGGAAACAGAGATGTCAATATGTAAAAGATGACAACATTAAAATCAAAAAGAGGGACTAAAAAATGTAGACATAGATCTTTCATATGGAGAGGAAGTCAAAGAGATACAAAAAAATAAAAGACTGGTTTAAACTTAGAAAAATAGTGGTAAATATTAAGGTAACCACAAAGGAAACTAACAATCCTACACATCAAAATGAAAATCAAGAAAAGCATAAAGACTCAGCAAACACAAAATCAACAATGAAAAAGATGAAAAGAAAATACATAAAGAAAAACAACTCAGCACAGAAAATTAAGTGGAACAAAGAAACTGTCAACAACACACAAAAAAAGACATCGAAATGACAGCACCAAACTCATACCTGTCAATGATTACGCTGAATGTAAATGGACTAAATGCACCATTAAAGACACAGAGAGTGGCAGAAAGGATAAAAAAACATGATCCGTCTATATGCTGCCTACAAGAGGTACATGTTAGACTTAAAGACACAATCAAACCAAAACTCAAAGGATGGAAAAAAATATATCAAGCAAACAACACTCAAAAAAGAGCAGGAGTGGCAATATTAATCTCCGACAAAACAGACTTTAAAGTAAAATCCACCACAAAGGATAAGGAAGAACACTATGTAATGATTAAAGGGTCAATACACCAGGAGGACATAACCATAATGAATATTTATATACCCAATGACAGGGCCCCAAAATACATAAAACAAACTCTAACAGCACTGAAAAGAGACATAGACAGCTCCACAATAATAGTAGGAGACTTTAACACACCACTTTTGGTGAAGGACGGAACATCCAGAAAGAAGCTCAATAAAGACATGGAAGATCTAAATGCCACAATCAACCAGCTTGATCAAAATTCATGAAACTAAATAAAGGTAAAAGAAATTTAAATAAAACTTTCATATGATGTTCTTTGTAAGTCTGTAGCATTTATTCTTCTCAGGTTATTAAAGCTTGAAGCTGCACTGAGACTTTTGGTGGAGTTCTGGGTGGTACAGTTGATGCGCTCAGCAGCTAACCAAAAGGTTGGAGGTTCAAGTCCACTCAGAGGTGCCTTAGAAGAAAGGCCTGGCGATCTACTTTGAAAAAAATCAGCCACTGAAAACTCTATGGAGCACAGTTCTACTATGATTCATGTAGAGTCACTATGAGCTGGAATCAATTCGACAACAACCGATAAAGACTTTTGGTACGCTCTATATATCATATGGAGCCCTGGTGGTGCAGTGGTTAAGAGCTCGGCTGCTAACCGAAAGGTCGGCAGTTCAAATCCACCAGCCACTCCTTGGAAACCCTATAGAGCAGTTCTACTCTGCCCTATAGGGTCACTACAGGTTTGGGTTTGGTTTATATAGTATATATAATAGCTGAAACAAAAGTTTGACAAAACAATATTTCCCCATGTTACATGTGATACACTTTGATATCTTCTTTTTTAGTCTATTCTATTCTGGCCTTTTAAAGAAATGTTTTCATGCTGATTTGCAACACTAAATTTATTTCACAATCCTGTAATGTGTCACAGTCAGTGGTTTGATAGGCACTGGGCTGGCTGAAGCCTCAGTTCTCTTACACCAGAAGGAGAAGTTATGTTCGTGTTTCAGCCAGCACAGCCAAGGAAGCAAGTTCATTTGTTCAGTCTAGGAAGGCTTCCTGGAAGAAGAGGATTTCTGACATCATCTCAGTACTAAAACCAAGATGGTCTGATGAGTTGCAGGCCCAAGGGTGCCTGGCGGGGAAAGACTTGAGAATGAACGCTCAGCAGCAGGAGGGGTATGGGTGGATGAGGACTGTTGGCACCTTGCTGGTGTACCTGGAGGCCAGGCCATGGGAGCTATGCAGGACACCTGTCCAGGATCCTGTGAAGCCCTGCACTGCACAAAGAACTACAACAGGGTCTCTTCCTTCTACAAGGCTGGTAGAGGGATGACCTGCAGACCTCACCACACTTCTGGGAATCATTTCTTACACAGAGAGCAGGAATCCTTAATCCCAAAGTTCTCTGGCTTTCATTGGATTATGTGTCTCTTCTAAGGGTTCTTTCCTGTTACCCATGTGCCGAGCAAACTCAAGAGTGTGTCCGTTACGGCCAAGGCTAATCATAGGTGTCTCATTTCATTCAGGATGTGGTTAGTACCTTCAGGAACTGCCGGCTGCAGAGAGAGGTTTAGATAGCCAGGCTGGGTCGAGAGAGGAGATGCCTGGGAAAGGCTTGAGTTAACCCTGGATCTCTTTCTTCAGGAGAAGTAAAAAGACAAACCCCACTGTGAGGGACCACCAGGTGGTGCCAGGATAACGGAGTTGGAGTGACCTGGGTGATTCTGAGTGAATCAGTCAGGGAAGACTTCCTACAGGTAAGTTATGAGCACAGGCAACAGCTGGTAACTAAGCTGTTACCATGCCTTTGTTTCTAATTGTGCTCTCTTTCTTATTTGATTTTTTTCCCATACAAAAATTTATACATACATTGTTATGTGACTCTAATTGCTCTCCCCATACTGTGACAGCACAACTCCTCCTTTCCACCCCTGATTCCCCATGTCCATTCAACCAGCTCCTAACACTCTCTGCCTTCCCATCTCACCTCCGGACAGAAGCTGCCCGTTTAGTCTCTTGTATCTACTTGAGCTAAGAGGCACACTTCTCACAAGTATCACTTTATGTCCCACCGTCCAGTCCAATCCCTGTCTGAAGAGTTGGCCTCGGAAATTGTTTTAGTTCTGGGCTAATAGAGAATCCAGGGGCCATGCTTTCTGGGGTAACTTCAGTCTCAGTCAGACCACTAAGTCTGGTCTTCTTACTAGAATTTGAGTTCTGCACCCCACCTTTCTCCTGCTCCATCAGGGACTCTCTGTTGTGTTCCCTGTCAGGGCAGTCATTGGT